TGGTAAGCATTTGAACTTTTTCTTAGGCTAGGTCACTTGGCATAACCTGGTGACCTGATCTTCCATCACCCGCGTCAGACATTTTTACAACATGTGCAAAAAAGATGCATGATAAGGTATGCTGAAAATGGCGGCGCTGCGCGCAGCCGTTTTCCAGATATTTGCGAAAAACCTGAGGGGGAGCGCAATAACGCCCCCTAGCACGGCGCGGGCTTTTAGCTCCCGATTTTGACGGTTTGGCGCCCCCTTTGTATGGAGCGCCCCCGGATCGCCAGGTCGCCCCCATTTCGACTTGCCGCCCCCCCCCCCCCTCCCGAAAATTCCTGGATCCGCCCCTGGTTGCAACCTAGATAGATAGTGGTTTCTGAACCTCGCCGAAAACTTGGCTATCTCAACTCAAACCCCATGTTAAAGGTGGGATAGTCCCTTTAACCCGCGCCCCACTGGGGTCTGTGTATAACACGCCCTACTGGGGGGGGGGGGGGGCTATTCATAGCCCCCCCTCCTAACTCCGAAACTACTGGGCCGATCGTCGAAATTCAAACGGCGTCTGATAGCCCCGGAAAAACTGTCGAGCGAAACCTAATTTCATTGACTTCGAGGTCACCGATGACGTCACAGGTCAGGTCAAAGTAAAAATTTTTAGCATTTTGGTTTGTTCACATTTTGGGCTCTGGCCGCCGTCTTACAAGTCAGATCAGGCTCATTTTTGGTTTCCACACTCGTGAAGAGATGCTCTAGATACTTTGAGGGTACCAAACTTGTACTTTGATTTTCAGGTCAGGGTCAGGTCATCACAGGTCACGAAAATATTATATCATGCGTCGGTCACGTGACACATGTTTTATGGTCCATTTAGGCCATAGATTTCGAATTTGATGTCGTCTGTGTCATTCGAGGTCATTTGGAGTCGAATTTAGCTTAGGTCAGGTCACTTTCAGGTCAAAAAAGGTCAAATTTTGAAGTTTACATTTTTCAACAAAAAAGGTGTCTAATGGATGCAGTTTGAGCTCAGGAACACGATGGTGCCATTTATATTGGTGTACGATGTCAAATACGTACTGAAAAATTGATTTGAAAAATTAATAATTGTGAATTTTTTGCAATAATGCGTATAACTTGGCCATTTTTGAAGATATTTAGCTAAAACTTGCTAGAGTTAGTCAACATCATGCGTTCTGTCACATATATTCCGGTTTTTTCGAAAAATCAAAAACTTTTTGAAAAAAATATAAAAATATAAGTTTTAAATATTATTATATAACATTTTCGAAAATTTCAAAATTTTGAAAATCCGAGATAGCAGTTTGATAGCGCAGTCAATTCTGAGTCCTTTCATGCAAAGAAATTGGATCTAGCTTAAAAACTGAGCTCTTGGGAGCGATTGCCGTGGTTCAATGTTTTGCGTCAAAATCGGACGAACATGACGTCACTCTGACGTCATTTCCGGCGGACCTATGGTAGTTACGGAGTTCAAATTTTGACACAAGGTGTCAATTTGATGCAGCCGAAGGTCCTGAAAGTTTTGCGTCGATCCGTCAAGCGGTTTGGAAGTTATTGCAGAAAAACGGGAGGGGGGGCTATAAATAGCCCCCCCCCCCAGTGGGGCGCGGGTTAAGTATAAGAACGGGACCAGTACCTAACTTAGCTATTAAAATACGTCAGCTGTATAATAGATTATGGACCTATGTATAGGGAAAATAATTTCTTTCGCTTAGGAGACACATCCATAATATGCAATTATCTTGCCTTAAGCTCTAGCTCCCTGTGTAAGTATGTTTGTATGTGATGGTATGTATGCATGAAGATATGTATGTATGAATGGATGGAATCATGTATGTATGTATGTATGAATGGATGGAATCATGTATGTATGTATGTATGAATGTATGCATGTATGTATGACGTAATATGCATGTGTGTATGTATGTATGGTTGGATGGATGGATGGATGTAGATGTGCATTATGTATTATGTAATGTAAGGCGGAAAATTGGATGTATGGGGGCACTCAATCACGATCGCATCAAATCGTGTTTAAGTTCGACAACAGTTTCGTAATTGTGTAAAGTTTCAACTTGTGTACACCATAGGTACTATGGCGCTTTATTTATATATGCATTCATTGTCTTTTTCCTCTTTTTCTGTATGTTTGTGGCGCTTACATATTATGTAACTGTAGTGCGTTAAACCACGATAACAGATACGTTACCACCATTCTCGTTTTATAGGTACGGCTACCCCAACCACAAGACCACCTTTTGTGTGCCTGGCTGTCGGATGCATCTGCGAGGGCTGCCCCCATGGCTACAAGTGCTCCAGCTGCAACACGTTCGAGGACACCCCCGCCCCCGGACTGCCGGCGCCAATCACCAAGCCATGCTGCATTCCAGACCTTGACTACGACAGATACCCGCCGCTGATTAGGGAGCTATTCTGCAACATCAGTCTTCCAACATGTAGGCCTATCAATGAATGAACATGGCCACTGCATTGTAACTGACAGTGAAGCAAATCCGAGCATACATACACTGCGGTTTGTACCTATAGATGTTGACATACTGAAAAGCAAAAATCGCTAACAGCTACGCTGGTTTCGCATAGTGCTAGAGCTACCGTCGATATACATAGGTCGTTAAATAAAATCATCTCGTCTTCTGATTTTCGAGGGCTTGCCGTTATTTATGCAAATACATATACACTGGTGACGTTTCTGTGCAGTTTATTTGCGGGAGTACAGAAGTGTGTATAATAGAGTACAGTCTCCACGCGGCGCGGCACTTCTCGCATCCCTCCAGAAACCATAACAGGTGGCTGCATCGACTGCCCTCATGCACGTCACCCCGTAAACTCCAAGACGACTATGCACCCCCACGAGCCTCCGCATACTGGCAGCTACATGGAAAGGCGCAATGTTTCTCTGGCACCGAGGACCGGGCCGTCGCTGGTCGGCGGTCAGCTGACCCCCCCCCCCCCCCCCCTCCAGCTGACCCGGCCTCCAGCAGGGCCAGTCAGACCGAGACGGTCACATTAACGGCAACGATTCAGGACACATAAGATAACAAAACACATAATGATCCGTAGCCTAGCAAAAGCCAGAATGAAATGCGACATTTCGAGGAAATCATTCTCAGTTTCTGCATGCCGACAAATAATACCTACTGAGGTATGTTTCATACAGAATACAAGAGGCGTCCTGTCTGCGCTCTGAAGAAGGCCGGTCAATGGTCAGGCATGAGGCAAGTGCCCTGCACGCATCAGCTACGATTAATGGCGACGATATCTGCAATGTTCATACACTTATATAGCTACCTTCTGTAGCTATATAACTTATGTGCACAAATATTCTTATAGCTATCTCACTTCCTTGGGCATTGCTATTGTTTGACTTTACCACGAACGTTCTTGTAAAAGCGTCCCTGTGTTATCACTTGTCAAGCGCTAAAATTCCCAATTTTTTTTTTCCAAAGAAAGATAAATGTACCTAAGCCTTTACGTCAATGTCCATTAGATAATAGTGACTTGATAAATTATATCTGAAATAACAATATTAAAATCGGTACCTATAACCTAGACCCACGTGCCCCCGAGGGAGATCAGGTTGAGCCCAAGTACAATAGGTAGTTATAACTTATAATTTATAGCACAGGTATAGCATATACAGTTATAGCAATTTGTTGACCATTATGATAATAAATATCAATGATACCTAGGCCAAAAACGGTCACAGGTAGACATGCACATATATTTGTGCCCAAAGAGCCAAATAGTTACCTAGGATCATTAACATCGCATCGTATTTGTTACAACAACTACGCGTACCTATTGTACCTTTGCTTACTTGACTGCACAGTGTAGACTACCTACCTATATCAATTTTTTGTAACTAGTAAAAATACATACTAAATACTAATTATGATGAGTTTAGCTACTTCATATCAAATGGATAGACTGAGGCGAGAGAACAAGAAAAGCAAATGGTAAGTTCAAAAGCACTATGCACAGAAGATCGTTGTTTTACACATGTGCCTAACAATGTCAATGCAACGCCAATCGATAAAATGTATGCCACTTTATAATGTGTCGTGCACAAAAACATATAGACCAATGTCTAACCCTTGCCGGCACAGGCCATTTTGCGTCCTTCGACGGCACAAGGGGGGGGGGGGGGTTGGCACGCCCCTCCTCGCGTTTGGCCCCTGATCGAGCTAGAGCTTCGCGGGAAAAAAACGAGCGTGTTGCCCGTCACGAGAGGAAGCCGATGATACCGAATTTTAAGGTCCTAGGTCATCGGGTGACCTTCCAGGTCAGGTCAATGACCCGAAAACCGGGAAAATCGGGACCTGTTAGAAAGTCGTAAAGTGTGGCTGCTATGTGGTTTTCCGGGGTGCTGATCACGAATATCGTGTTAGTTTTGATCAGAGATGATGTCTTTAAGCATTTAGACCAGGTCGGGTCAGGTCAGGTCAGGTCAACCGGTAGGGATTGTGACGGGTATTCGTAATACGTGTCAACCGCCTCTGACAGCTTCGCAACATGTTACGAAGGCACCAGAACTACTTCGTAAATGTTCAAATGGTTGCTGAATTCGAATTCAGCTCCAAGAACTAGCCTAGAAACATGTAAAACTCGAAAAAGTGAACCCAGGTCACCCGAGGTCACCAAAGGTCAATGACCTGACCTGACCTTCAGGTGACCTTGACACCCACCCTAATGTATGGGAGCAACATCAAATCACATGTTTGAACGTTTGAAACCACGAAAAGCTTGCAAAAGCGCGGCTAATGCGAGCCGACATACGCCGAATCGCGACTCTGGCCAAACATGGTCTCGGAAAAGAGGCCACAGGTCAAAGGTCATTTGGGTCAGGGTCATGAAATTTTCAGGGTAGGTGTTAAATTGATCAATGCGAGAGTACTGAAAGTATCGTTGCGATCGGCCGCTTTTTACGCGAGTTATTTGCGAAAAACCTTAGGGGGTTGCATCAACCCCCCTGTGCCGGCGAGGGTTAAAACTAGCTATTAGTTTACTGATTCCAAGCAACTTGCACTATCGCATGATCACAAAATAGTTCTCTATTTCCAAACGTCTACATATATGTAGATATGTGGTGCACGTAGTGACATACACACTGTTGTGGTGGTGGTGTCACGCGACTTCGCGCGCTGGGACGCCGCTCTGCTGCCGTCTGGGGGCCGTTCCACTACCGTGCCGCGCCTGGCCCTCCGCCGTTCAGTCGCTGCTGATGAGCTGCTGGAACGAAGTGCGGCGTGTCTGGGCGGCGCGCTCCTCGGCGCTCATGCTCTGCAGCGAGCGGTGCTGGTCAGCCACCGTCACCATGATGACCCCCCAGCCGACGCTCCAGAACCAGCCGACCAGGCAGAAGGTGAGCGTGTACAGCTGCATCAGCGCCACCACCAGGTTGGTGCACGTGCTCGCCCAACGGTCCTGCTTGGTCGTCTCTACCGAATAGCGAGTGCGACCCATGCAGTGCACGAGCAGGCCGCTAGCTGCCGTCCCCAGACCCGGCAGAAAGATGTTGAGCAGCAGACAAAGGTAGGCGGCGGAGCGGGGCAGAACTGGGATGGCGCCGCGGGCCATCGAGGTGGTGTTCACCATGCTCGGGTCGAGCTGCGGGCCCTTCTCACGCAGGCTCTCCACGTCGCCGTCCTCCCGCTTCCGGCGGCCGAAAAGCCGGCCCGGGAACACCACCGGCACGCCGAAGATGCTGAAGGCCTTGGTGCGCTTCACGTGCGGCAGGACGCCCGGCTGGAGGCGGCTCTCCTCGCCCGCAGACACCAGCGCCACGTCCGCCATGTGGATGCCGCTCGAGGAGCGCTTCACCGGCGACTTGGAGCGTGGTCGGGTCTCAGGCTCGCTGTCCTGGTCGCTGGCGCTGGCGTCACTGCTGCGACGGCGGGTCCGCGACTGATCAGTGGTTCCTTCGGGTGTCAGAAGATCACTGTCGCGGGTGGCGTGTACCGGCACGCCGCGGTAAAGGCGGTCAAACACGCTGCCTCCCTGACGACGAGCGGGAGCTCTTGGAGCGCGCTTCGGTACCTCCGTCGGACGCTTCTCAGGTTTCGGCTGTATTTTTCGCTTGTTGATGCGTTTCTTGGCCTCCTGACGTTTCGCAGTTTCCCTTTCTTCTACCAGCGAAGTGCGCTCGCTGGTAGTTGCTGCCGGTTTGCCTGCGAAAAGCCTGTCGTAGATAGAGCTTTGCTTGTCTCGTTTTCGCTCCTTCTTGTCGTCAGTCGTGGTGTTGTCGGTTTCATCGGCTGTTTCTGCCTCAGTTTTAGCTGTCTTTTCCTTCTTTGTACGACTGTCCTTCGTGGCAGTGTCTTTTCCTTTCCCAGCATCAGCATTGCCTTTGCGACCATTAGCTGCCTGACTCTTTTCATTTTCCTTCGCATCCTTCCCTTCCGATCCATTTTGAGCGGCCGCTCCACTTGCAACTGCGACACCGCCATCATTCTGTTCACCTTTCGCTCCGCCTCTGACTCTGCCTGTTTTGGCTCCGTACAGCCTGTCGAATACGCTGCCTCTCGTTGCCGCAGCCTGTTTCGTTGACGGCCCCTGCGCCTGACGAACTGCCGCGCGCGTCTCATCTTCGATGCTGATGCTGGCAACTGTCGGCTGTCTCGGCAGCGGCGGAACAAGTCTGGGCGGCGTCGCCGGCTTCTCCTCTGTCACACTGACCGTCGCAGCCACCATGCGCGGAGCCAAGATCTCCTTGCTGGAAGAGTCTGGCTGGTCGTGCAGGGAACGGCCGCTGATGAGACGGTCATACAGCTCTTCAGCACGTGGTCGGCTTGTCTCGTCAGTTGACGTCGCTGCCACCGCAGGCGGCTGTGGCCGCTCCTGCACAACACTGCTCCTGCCACGCGACCTCGTGTCCGGCCGCGACAGCCGGTCGAACACAGAGGTCCTCTGCCGAGCGGGATCAGCAGAGTCGCCGCCGAACGCCGTTTTTCTTCCGGACATGACAGCTGGCAGGCGAGGGACGGTCGGGGCACGATACTTGGCCCGACTCTCCGCCACTGGTCCGGCGCGCGACCGGCCCGGCAGCAGCGAGGCGAACACAGAGGACTCGCGCGGAGGCCGGGTGATGCGGATCTTCGGCGGCTTTGGACTGCGCGTCGGTCGCGACGACGAAGAAGCTGACGACGCTTCAGCAGAGGATGGAAGGAGCTGTTCGACGGTGGCGACGGTGGAAAGTTCTCCAGAGAATGAGACAGGCTGTTTACCTACGCGGTCATTTTGACTAGGCGAGGGGTCGAACTGCCCGGGTAAGGACACAGGCTGTCCAGGTGATAGGTCAGGCTCTTCGAGGAGAGTCTCAAGATGTCCAGGATAGGAATCTGACTGACTGGGTGTGCCAGATTGTTCAGGGGAATTATCAGCCTGAACAATTAAAGAATCTGGGTGTTTAGGTAAAGGAATAGGCTGCCCAGGTAGCAAATGAGGTTGAGTGGTAGTGACACTTGAATGGATGACTACGGAACCTGCCTGATCGGTGGAAAGGGCGGCGCTAGAGATAGAGGACTGGGTAGAAGGCTTCTCTGGGGTGTCTTCAGAAGATTGCTGTGAAGGCTTTTCAGCCAGCTGACTAGAGGATCGGGCAGAGGGTTGGCTGATGGGTTCGCCAGATGACTGCCCAGGAGAAAGATCAGAGGATTGATCAGAGGTTTCGATTAAGGACTGGTTAGATATTTGATTTAGCGGCTGCTCCGGTGGTGGATTTTGGGTTTTATCTGAGGTTTGGTCATGGGACTGATTTGAGGACGGATCTAAGGAATGAGAGGGCTGATGAGACGAGTTTTCCAAGGACTGTTTCAAAGACTGACTGGAGGACTTAGCTGAGGCCTGGTCCGGGGACTGAGTTGAGGACTTATCTGAGGACTGAGTAGGTAGCTGATCAGACGACTTTTCCGGAGGCTGCTCCAAAGACTTAGTAGTGGACTCACCTAAAGACTGGTTAGAGGACTTATCTGAGGACTGGTTAGAGGACTTATCTGAGGACTGATAAGAGGACTGATCCGAGGACTGCTCCGACGGCTCTGCTGACTTATCTGGAGCGTGGTCCGAGGACTGGCCGGCGCGCTGGCCAGCCGGGCCCGCCGCCGCTGCCGACTGAAGGTCCCGTTCCGGCTGACCAGCACTGTCTCCCGCAGTGTGCCGATCGACTGGCTCCGAATCGTCGGACGCGCCCGTGCCAGTGGACACCATGGTCCTGGCGAATTAGCCGCACGATAACCTGAACAAACGACCGCTTCGACGAGCCCCGGTCGACACGCGAACTTCAGAGCTATCGGCCGTCTCCTCCGCCCCGAACGGAACCGTGTTGCTCCTCCGCCGGCGGCCGAAGCAGTGCGCGGGGAGGGGGAGTGTGGTCGTACCCCATCCCGGTGCAGAGTGTGTACCATGACCTCCGTGCGGCCGCCGTCCATAATCACCCACGGGGCGCGTGCTGTGCGGCCAAGTGCCGACCCCCGGTGGGAGTAATTTGATGCCCCGGGGGCCTGGCACGGTCAGCGGCGGCGCTCGTTATGACCGACGATTAGTGTCGCCGCCGACGGCGCCGGCGGCCGTTCCAGTCACGGCTCGCCTCCGGCCCTCGGCGGGGGGGGGGGGGGGTGACCTGGTGTCTGATGACGCACAGGGGCAGCCTGTCCGAGCAGTGTTTGTACGACAGAATGGCAAGTCGCTGGCATGCTACGATTCCAATGGAGCATAGATTTAACTCCACCCATTTATAACCGGAACTTTTCTCAAGCAAGAGAGCGTCACTTGCACCCGCCCCTAGGGACAAATGATTGTTGTAGCACACGCAATTGTCACACCTTATCGTTGTATAAATATGACGTACTGAGGGTGAATTGACGCGACTTGTATTGGACGAAGTACTTTGAGGAAAGCCCCGCGTGAAAACCATGAGGAGTAACACTAGCGGTCATCACATACCTTATCAATCACACATAGTTAGATACCTATGATCTGTAGGGGAAGGTGGGGTAAGACGGCCCAGCGGGGCAAGACGGACCACCAGCCCCCCCGGCTGAACCGCTGCTGTTATCTACTGCTTTATGCACTCACTACCTTTGTTTCCCTTCGTAACAATGGCCACCTTGAGCTCATGAGGCTAGGATGCATAGCTTTTGAGTTATTGAGAAAAGTGTTGTTTTTCGTCAAACCTATCTAATATAAGAGGTCTACGGGTGATTCAATTTCGGCGCCTTTATTGCATGATTAGTTTCTATTTTGCACTTTACGGTGAAAAACAAAGTTATAAACTTGGTTAGGTATAGTCACACTTTAGAACAGGCAAGGTTTCGCAATGTTGGGCTATTTGACATATACGTCATAATAACCAGTATAACGCCTTTTGGGGCGACTGACGGAGCGAGCGAGGGGGTGAGTCTTGCACGTGCGAAATTTCGAGGGGGTACCTCCAACTGACTTGTGCACGGCACCCTACTGACCGGTTTCTAGCGATGTGCCAAATTTGAGCACAATCGGCCCAGCCGTTCTCGAGATCTGGGAGCGGCACCCTGCACGTGCGCACGTGCAAAATGGGTCCCAACTGACTTGTGCACGGCACCCTACTAACTGGTCCCTAACCGTGTACCAAATTTGAGCGCCATCGGTCCAGCCGTTCTCGAGATCTGGAAACGACCCCTGCACGTGCGCACGTGCAGCAGCACCCCAACTCTGGCACATGGATATGCAGTGCCTAGTGGGTGCCTACCTACATGCCAACTTTCAGCGCAATCGGCCAAGTAGTTACCGAGATATTGCAACAATTACAAAACTGACACCTCTTCGTTTTGCACGTGGCACGTGCAAAAGGGGTCACCCACATGCATCGGGAATAGTGCAGTACTTGGTAGAAGGAATGAAGCTATCCTACAAAAATTACCGCGTGTAAATCGGTCAAGTGGTTGCTGAGATATAAGCCTCGCAAAAGCGTCCGCACGGCCGGCCGGCCGGCCGGCCGGCCGGCCGCTCATACTCAGAAATTTCCGTTAATCTAAGGAAAGACTACGCTCGCTTCGCTCGCTCCGTAATGACAGAATTTAGATTTGGGGCAAGACGGACCACTATGGTCCATCTTACCCTGCGGTGGTCCATTGTACCCATCATGTGGAAAATTCTTTTCTAAAGCATTGACACAAGTTTAAGTAAGCCAATTCTTCAGGAAGGAGACGTCTTTGTTGCACATGGACCATTGCAAATGCTCAGCTAGCATGCATTCATGCCAAACGACAATCAACACACATGTTCCCAGCTTTTAGTTGCACTTCCATAACATATGAGTATAGAATAAAGGTTCATTTTGTTATTTTACCACTCTACTTACTCGAGTACAGATTAGAACTGTACCAAGCATGAATGGATAGCAGGCACTGCTGGGTGGTCCGTCTTACCCCGCGTTTTTTCTTGTCCGAGTTTTCGACATGTCCCCCTTTAAGAGCATCCACCACCTAGATGTCTTTATTTTGAAATTCAGTCTTTGCACATATCAAAAGAGGAAGGATTGAACATTCAGAAGACTATAAACAATATGAGTTACGAGAGCAGTGTAGAAAGATATGCGGCCTCAAACCTTAGCTGGTCCGTCTTACCCCACCTTCCCCTACTATATCAATCAACCACTAGGTATATGAGATAAATGCGTAATGAGTGAAGACCACGTAAAACAATGCCTACCACAGGGCGACTCATTCTTCAGGTCAATCCCAATAAAAACATGTCTGTCGTAACAATCCAGCCTATACTGCAAAAGTTCGGGATAACTCAGATCAACTTGTAACATGCAGCCAAAGAGCTTTTGGGGTAGAACCGTAGAAAATAGTAAATACGTTGCTGAAAGGCGAAAGCATCCGACGACACTTCACTCCTAGGCACCAGCCGACGGACCAAAAACGTTAGCTGAACCTTCACATTGTCCAAAATAATATGCACGCAACAGATCGTGGGCCACTCAGAAGGGATTATGCACTGATGATATCTGGTACCAAATCAGTCGCCCGTAGGTCTGAACTCTGACGTTACTTTCCTTTTTCTGAATCAAGCTGTCTCGAAAAATGACGCGATGATTTAGGGTCATTTATGAGTAATGTTGGGCATTCGTTGAATAGTCAGCTCATATTGTTCAAGTTTAGAAACTACACATTACTGCCGTGACGGTAGGTTACCTTGCATTCGCCTGCCAACGTCGGCGACAAACGTCCCTGGATGGCCGGCATCAGACACTCTGAAAGCTTCCAATGAGTTCCTCGCGGCATCGGATCAGTTCCTCACGGCATCGGATGAGTTCCTCACAGTATCGCTGCAGTTCCCCACGGCATCGGATAAGTTCCTCGCGCTATCGCACTAGTCCCCCACAGTGTCGGAGCAGTTCCTCACGGTATCGCACTAGTCTCTCACAGTGTCGGATCAATTCCTCACGGCATCGCACTAGTCCCCCACAGTGCCAGATCCGTTTTTCACGGTAACGCACTAGTTTCCCACGGCATTGGACCATTTCCTCGCGGTATCGCACTAGTTCCCGACAGCATCGGACCATTTCCTAGCGGTATCGCACTAGTTCCCGACAGCATCGGATCAGTTCCTCGCGGTTTCGCACTATGTAGTTCAGTTCTCCATGTCATCAGACCTGTCTCTCGAGACATCAGTGCAGTTCCTCGCAGAATCCGAACGGTTCCGATCAGTTCCGGCTTCGCAGGAGTTCCGTCATCCTGTCGGACACAAAAGGGACCATTCCGCTTAACCCCAAGACAGCGGAGCAGAGGCACTGGGGGGCCTGAGTCCCTGACCCGTCCTTGGTTTGCAAGGGCGAATATAAGAGACTGCTTTATCATTACGTCACCCATAAAATGTACTCTGTCCCTTAAATCGTTATTCCGACTTATGGGTATGACTATTTAGAATGACACCACTTGACAGTAGTAGCAATCAAGTCATTTTCGTACTACCAGCAGATGTTTTCCGAACATGTCTAAGTAATAAGCAATAAGCATATCATTATCAATTGTCATCGGTTGCTGCCCATGTCTCACCTTCGTCGGGAATCGGGATCCTATGGAACAGGTACGGCAGTAGCTCCCACTGGTCATTCCACGACCTCTTTATTCGGCTGTACTCCTCCCTCACCCGGTCATACAGGAGCAGTTGCCGCACACTCTTGTTCCATAGGGCGGCCGCCGCGAGGAGCTCGCTCCTAGTCTCCTCACCCAGTCCGTCCTGCAGCTTGGGCACGACGTCGCGCGCTCGAATCAGTTCCAGTTCACGGCGGCACTGGCGTAGCGAATAGGGAGCGGTGTAGTTGTCCTTGAAGCTGGCAGCGTACTCCTGGTCTTTTCGACGCCACCGGACGAGTTTCTGTGGGCTGGAGTGACCGACGGCCCGCAGCAGCAGGTCGGGCTGCAGCAGCAGCTCAGCTCTGCCTCGCGGTGTGTCCAGCGGTGCCGTCATCCCGGTTGGCCGACAGTCGGCCGGGAGCTGAAGCTGCCTGTTCCACCAGGCGAACACCGCGGCAGTGTCGCCCAGGAGGTACTTCAGGTCTCGATCGGTGAGAAGAGCCAGCAGCGGCGTGGCGTCCATGAGGGAGACCAGGTCCTCAGCGGGAGTCTCTCTCAGCTCACCGAGGTGAGAGTCACCCAACTCCTCACTTTTCTCCTCGCAGGACGTTCCATCGGATGTCAGATCCGTCTGATCCACCACCATCCACGCCATGAGTAGGAAGCACTGCTGTGTGTACAAACCAGAGTCTCTTCTGAACACCCGCTGTAGGAGACGATGCTGTCCCGCTGGCCCCAGTGCGGGGAGGAAGTGGTTGTGCCAGCTCTCCCAGCACGGTGCGTCCAGTCGGTACAGGGTCCCAAAGAACACCGCATTGCGCACCATCTGTCGCCCAAGCCGGCGGCGTAGTTCCAACTCCGGAAGAGGTTCCAGGTCTCCCTGCATCAGGACGTCCAGAGGTAGGGCTTGGACACAGCAGGTCAGGAGGAGGCGGTCTGCGTGCTCCCGCATGCCACGGACCGCAGTGATGATGGCCTGTAGATCGTCCCAGGTGAGTTCCGCCACAAGATTAATCGCGGGCCAGAAGAAACAGGGTATGGCGCCAGCACTGAGGTGGTCCTCCAACCAGTTCAGAGCCATGTAGACGCCCTCGCTGACTCCCGCCCACGCCTCACTCCGGGTATCCTGTAGAAGCCAAAGTACGGCATTTTTGATGAAGTACGACTTTAGCGTGCGTTTGTCACTCTGCTCAACAGGCATGCTTTCTTTCATGATATTCTTCATGCTCTTCAGTGTGGTGATGGTGGCGTGCTGCACTGGACTGAGGAGGCGGACGACCACCACCTCTGCTCTGGAGAAGGACACCCGCCACTCTATCATCTCGGTGGCACTGCCGGGCATGCCGGTCGGCACCAGGTGCACGCCGAACCG